TTCCTGTAAACCTCGTTTCACGAGGCATAAGGGAGCGGTCGACAAAGGCTTCTCTTGTCGACCGATCCACGTCTTGACTCGTGCGCTGTGCCTACGATCAGCTGAGCCGACACAGTGCGGCGGCCCTTTTTATTTTAATGAAGCCGGAGATATTTAAATCCTCGCTTCGTTGATTATGTTGGGTAGCCTATTTTACATGCTTCTGTCAGCAGAGGCGTGTAGTCTAGACATACCCTCAGATGTGAACGGGGATGAAATAACCGGGCTCATTAGGAAGTTAGCAGGAGATTCCTAGGGCACTGCCTACCCGCTGATGTGTTTTCTCTCCCTTCCTTTCAGGACCCACTTCAGCTTTGCTGAAACTCTGATTTAAAGCACAGATTCCCAGCCTAGGCTTTGTGGGGGGATGGGGACCCCGGCTTTTGCTGTTGTAATGGTTTAGAGAAGGCTGAGACACACCCTCCCACACTTACTGTTTTTTAAAATTCAAACAGTTTCATGAGCTTGATTCCAAATGTGGTTCCAAACTCAGTTCCATCACCATGCGCTCACCTCCGCCCCCTTTCCATTTGTCATGGGCACGGGGAATGCATTAAGCGCCGTATTACCCTGTGGCTGCTGTCCTTTCTTGGGGACATAGAAATCCAGTGTGGCCACACGGGCGTCTGTTATCGTCCCTACCCCAGACCCAGGGCTGAACCCTCCTTTTTAGCTCGCTGGCTGCTGGCCTTGCAAATGTTTTGCTCAAACTGGTGTTAACCTGTGCGTGCATCTGACCACACTGTTTGTCCCACTGCCTCCTTTAAAATGGCTGGGTAGAATTCTGGCGGAGTCTAGAGTAGCAATTCCCAACCTTCTCCAGATGGGGACCTGTTTTGACAATTCAGAAAGACTTGGTGACCCAAGGCAGTTCAAAAACAGGGGGAGGAGGGAGGGCAGAGTCCCCTGGCGAGACACTTGGCGACCCATATTTGGGTCCCGACCCATAAGTTGGGAAACCCTGGTCTAGCGTGTTTGGAAACTGGACCCGTGAACCGAACAGCTCACCCAGTTGGTTCCAGTAGAGATGCTAAATTCAGATTAATTGGCTAATCGAATAGTCAATGCAATTTGCATTGACTATTTGATGAGTCAATAAGGGCGCCTTCACCTTTGAAGTGCAGCAACAGCTCCAGAGTCTGAGCTGAGCAGCTGAGTCCCCAGCTGACCCTGGGCTGGGGAGACCTGGCCTGGAACGTGCCATGGCTTTGCTGGGCTTGGCAGCAACAATTGAACCCATTTCCCGAAGCCGCGGAGTAGCTTGTCCAAGTCCTTGCCGTGGATGGAGCCGGAGAGGCGAGCATGCCTGTGGCCATATGTGCTCCTGCCATGCACCCTGGATGCTTGGGCAGTGACATGGGTGCAATGCAGTTGTCATGGGCTTGTTCCCACCCCCGGACTCAGCAAAGGGCTGCCGTGTGGCTTGTGTGCTTTCATCCGGAGCATGATCTGCTCTCCCTGCGATGGGGCGCTACCGCGAGTGTGTTATTGTGTTAAGTGCGTTACTGCGACGGTCCTTCCCTCTGCCTGCTTGGGATTCCAGCGGGCGTGTCCGCGGTCTCACGGGTGCTGCAGGAACCTTTCCTGGGCTCTCACTGGGTCCTGGCTCATTTTGTAGCACGCATGATGCCCGCTTTTGGAGGAACCTCTCCCCTCCCCCCCTCCGAGCTGTCATTTCGAGGGAGCAGCTCAGTGCCAGCAAGGAGTGACCCTCTGGCCCAACCCAAGGGATGTGGCCAAGGGGCGTGGCCATACCCCAGCCACAATAGCCGATCACTGAAAAGAGAGCTGGGGTTCTCCAGCGCCCAAGGGGGGGCTGACATTAGGGATGTAATCGTCTAGTCGATTAACCCATTAACCGATAAGCAAAAGCTTATCAGTTAATGCTATAGACGACACGCATTTCCTCCTCCCCCTGCCAGGACATTTGTTAGCAGGCTGGCCAGCAGCCTGGCACAGTCCTGGCTTGCAATGGGTCTGGGGCCTACCCTGCTGCAGCTCTGCATTTAAAGTGTATTAAGAGCCAGGCAGGCAGGCAGCCCAGCCCACAATGGGTCTGGGAGCTTCGACCTCCTCCCCACAACGGGGCTGCTGCACTGGCTCTCCTCACGGACCAGTTCCCGCCTGACACCTACGCTGCTACCTCTGATACAGAGGCAGCCAATGGGTCTGGGAGCTTCGACCTCCTCCCCACAACGGGGCTGCTGCACTGGCTCTCCTCACGGACCAGTTCCCGCCTGACACCTACGCTGCTACCTCTGATACAGAGGCAGCACGGAGTGGCAGGGGGCTTCTTGGATGTGGGGCGGGAGTGCACTGGCTGCCGGCCCCACCCTGGAGATTATAGAATAGTTGACTAGCTGATAAGAATTCATGAGGTTAATCGACTATTCCATGAACCGATATTTAACAGCCCTGGGTGACATCTGTCCATGGCGTCCTCTCCCTTTTCTTGCCATCACCTTGTGTTTGCAAAGCTACACGTGTCCTTCCTTTCGGGGATGTGAGAACCCTGCTGTGAGGATGGCCAGGGTCCAAGGAAGGCCTCTCATTCTGCTAGGTGCAGCATAGGGAGAGCTCGGTTTCAGACATCCCTGGGAGTAGAGCGGTACCCTCGGGGCGGCGCAATGCAACGCTGAGCACAGCAGTGAGGAGAGAGGCAGTTAACACAAGTCCTTGAGTCTGCTAGTTCCCGTGAGCCAGGTGGAACAGAGGTTGTAGGGGGCTGTGTGGCTGGCAGGAATATGGATGAGCAATAGCGTCCGGGATGTGACAGGGTAGCCAGTTACCCGGTAAGCCTCACCCTTAACGGCAGCCCCCCACTGCTTCTGCCCAGTGCGAGCTTGCCGACAGCTCCCCCGCCTGCGCCTACGAGGGTGCCGACCCCCAGCCCGTGGACCCGCAACCTGCGCAGGCTGCCAGCAAGCTGCTCCTGCCTATGGTGCGGGGGCCACTCCAGCCCGGCTGTGGCAGGTGGGGGGTTGCTCTACACCAGCCGGCTGGAAAGGTCCCCCCTCCCCCCCGCCAACTCTGTTTAATCAGTTACCCGGTTAAACTTAACATTTAACTGGTTAACTCATTAAATGGGATTTTACATCCCTCCTTAAGGCATCCTCTTCCACTGAATCCCTAGGCGGCGTTTTCAGGTGCGTCTCGCTGCAGGTCACTCTGGAAGATGAGAGTCTCACAGCCCTGGGACACGTCTCTGGGTAGCCCTGCCCTGTTCCTAGACACGCTCCTTCTCCGTCTGAAAGCCCTTCCAAAGGGCTGTTTCCTGTTGGAGACCATGTCCCTGTGGCCTCCCATACAGCCCCTTGCCAGTGGCTAGTGATGTGACCAGAACACTGGCAGGAGGCTGCATTCAACATTTCGCATCTCTCTCTCCTTTTTGCCTCCTGCCCCGGGCAGGTGAAGTGAACTTGCTGGACAGGCTGACTTCTTCCGCCCAGGACCTCAGCAACGTTTCTCTCAGTTACGACGACGCCAACTGCAGCGTCTTGGCAGTCGGGCAGTACTCCACCCTGAGCATCTCCACCCGGGAGGCCTTCGGCGACAGGTAGGCTGACTTCCCCGGGGCTCAAAATCTGGCTCCCTGCACGCCTGGGGATTTGGGCCTTTACCGTCGGGCCTTCCTGCCCTCCCCTCCTTGGGACTTGTCTTCATTGCCACCGGAGGGTGCATGGCAGCTGGTGTAGACAGGCCTGTGTTTGCCGAGCTCTAGCTAGCTCACTACAAATAGACAGCAAGAAGTCACACCGCGGCCTGCAGCACCTACCCAGAGGACTGAGGGGAGGCTGGCCGGTCCGTAGCTCCCCCAATTCTCTGTCTTCCCTTTTTAAAGCTGGGCATGACATTTGCCTTTTTCCAGTGGTCCGGAAACTCCCCCGATTGTCACGAGTTTTCCAAAGTAATGGCCAATGGCTCTGCAATCGCATCAGCCAACTCCCTCAGCACCCTCGGCTGCGTTAGCTCTGGCCCCATGGATCTGTGTATGTGCAACTTTTCTTAATAGTTCTTACCCTGTTCTTTCTCCACCGAGGGCTGCCCACCTCCTCCCCATACTGTGCTGCCTGGCGCAGCAGGCTGGGGGCTGACCTTGTCTGTGAAGACAGAGGCAAAAAAGCATCGAGTACTTCAGCCTTTCCCACATCTTGTGCCACTAGGTTACCGCCCCCATCCAGTAAGGGCCCCACTCCTTCCCTGACCACCTTGTCGCCCCTGCTGAAATCTGTCCCGTGGCTTCCTTCCTTCTTCCCTTTCCAGGGCTTGGCTGTGCAAGCTGAATGATGGACTTTGACTGTAGTTTCTGTGTGACACACTCAGAATGACGGAAGGATCCGTTGTCACCCGCCTGCTACAGGGCGCTGTGGTTTGCTTCCCTCCCCTAGGTTTGCAGATGAGCTGAGCCTGTTGGTGAAACTCAGGTACTCTCTGAAGGAGGAGACCAGCCTCTTGACCATCCTGAGTCACCGTAACCATGTGCTGTTCCAGATCAGGGTGAAGCCCCACGCCGTGGTCTTTGTCAGCACTCGGCGGCGACATTATGAGTAAGTTCCAGCTGAGCGCTTCAGTTCCTCTCCCCACGCGGCAGGGGCAGGAAAGGGGGCATTTTCAATGGCAGGCCCTGCAGCGGAGCCTGCCTTATACTCAGATGTGGGGGCAACGGGGTAGCTGCCTGGGCAAGCGAGCACAAGGCTCTCGGTTAGGCTGGTGCTGCTACATGTCGTTCGGGGTTTGCACCCACGTATCCATCCACTGCCCACTCGCGTGCCTCTTCGGAAGGTTGACCAGGGTGTCGTGCCCATGCAGACGTGCGCTAGCTCCAGACGTTAGTTGACAGAGGGGAAGGCTCTTGGAGTGCCCAGGTCTGAGTCACCTTTTTACCCCCCGAGTGGAGAATTCTTGCTTGTGCTTCACTGGGTGTCTGCTCCCTGAGACCACCAGCCTGTTAGCCATGCAAGTGCACTCCTCTGGGCTCTGATAAAGATCATGAAGATGCTGCAGCCTCAGGCACCTCTGCCCTCACCCTTGCTGGCTTTTAACCTTTGCGCATGTTTGAATAACAGGCTTGGATGCTTTGGATGGGAATCTAGAAAACAACAACAAAAATTAACTGTCGGGCTGCCTGGCAGGTTTACAATAGGTGTCCTGAGCCCCCTTGAAGCAGTGCTGGGCAACCTAGGCTAGTGCGTGGGCCGCATAACTGGCCATCCCTCGTCACAGCGGGCCACAGTATTGTCATAACACCAAGAGGGTCCCCCAGGATACAAGGTTCTTAGATCACAGCAGGGAAGAGGTTTGGTGATGTAACAAAACTCAGGATCTGGTCACGTCCCTCAAAGTTCTCCAAGGCTCTGTCCCTGCAGGCCTCTGAGGCAGACGCCCCTCTGATCATGAAGCAGCGTCTCTGCTGCCCGGACCCACGAATCATCTACATGCATCATCTTCCCCTGCCTGGGCCCACTGAACCTCACTTCTCATCGCACCTCTCTGGTGCAGGCGAATGGAGAGGGCAGAGCTTAAGTGTTAGTCTCACATCCTCTCAGGTGAAGGATGCTGTGGCAGATTTCTAGGTGAAGTTGAAGGGTGTGTTCCCGGTTGTTGTCTCTTGCTGGTTGTTCTGATAGGACATCGCCAGTCCTGTGACGTAGTTTTGGGTATCAGGAAAGACTATTTCCCTAGGCGGGTGGTGAAGCACTGGAATGGGTTACCTAGGGAAGTAGTGGAGTCTCCATCTCTAGAGATCTTTAAGTCTTGGCTTGACAAAGCCCTGGCCGGGTTGATTTAGTTGGGATTGGTCCTGCCTAGAGCAGGGGGCTGGACTTGATGATCTTCTGAAGTCTCTTCCAGCTCTATGATTCTATGATCAGCATGTTTGTGCTCACTCTTGTTTGTGTATCAGAGGGGGAGCCGTGTTAGTCTGAATCTGCAAAAGCAGCGAGGAGTCCTGTGGCACCTTATAGACTAACCGAAGTGTTGGAGCATAAGCTTTCGTGGGCAAAGACCCACTTTGTCAGATGAATGCTTGTTTGTGGTATGGCGTCCCCCTCCTGAGAAACGGGAACTCGCCGCCTTCACCCCGTTTGGGCTTGAAATTGTTTGGAGGGAGACCATAAGAACGGCCCTGCCGGGACAAACCAATGGTCCGTGTAGCCCAGAGTCCTGTCTGCTGACAGTGGCCAATGCCAGGTGCTCCCGAGGGAATGAACAGAACCGGGAATCACGTGATCCCTCCCCTGTCACCCATTCCCCGCTTCTGGCAAACGGCTAGGGACACGCTCCCTGCCCATAGTGGCTAACAGCCATTGCTGGGCCTGTCTTCCATGCACTTTTCTAGTTCTTTTTTTATCTCTTTTACCATCGTCTTGGCCTTCGCAACATCCTCTGGCCAAGAGTTTCACAGGTGCATGAAGAAATACGTCATTTGGTTTGTTTCAAACCTGCTGGCTGCTCGTTTCATTTGGTAACCCCCTAGTTTGTATGTGGTGTGAAGGAGTAAATAACAACTTCCTTGTTTTCTTCCTCCATGTCTCATGACTGCATGGCCCTCGATCATCTCCTTCGTCGTTCCTTTTCCTGACCGAAGGGATGAAGTGTCAGTCACCAAGATGTGCTGTAGAGCGGTGGTTCTAAGGCCCTGCTGACACTAGGCGCTAAAGGCGTGCTTCCCCTCTTTGTGCGCCCGTACTCACACGAGGTCTTAGCGTTAACACAAGAATACGTGATAGCAGTGGCGGTCCAGCATAGTTGTGCGGCGGATGAGCAGGTTTGTAACTGGGACAGTTAAGCCATGGCCCTGTTGCTACTACTACAGCTACCCTGCTATTTAGATGCCTGTTAGCTCGATGCGAGCGCATGGGAGCGTCAGTCTGCGTGCAGAAGAATCACCCTCTCACGCCTAGCGTAGGAGTAGCCGAAATGTCTCTCGCCGCGACGTGCTTGAGAGGTGCCGTGATCTGTGGAATTCATCACGTCCGGCAGAAGAGAGACTCTCTCGTGTGTGGCACAGGCTCTCTGGCCGCATGTCAGTCACTAGCACTGTGCGGCAAGCCCGGGACGCTGTTCTTCACCTCAGCGGCCTCTCAGGAGTCCTTGTGCCGCTATTTCCCCCAGGTGAATGTGCCACGGCTTTGAAAGGAATGATTGGAGGAAGCAATAATTTGCCCAAATCCACAGTAGCGTACAAGGCAGGGATGGTTCACGTGGGACCTCACTTCACCATCCTCCGGACCTAGGGAAATCGTTTTTCCTAATATCCAACCTAGACCTCCCCTACTATAACTCAAGACCATTGCTCCTTGTTCTGCCACCTGCCACCACTGAGAACAGCCTCTCTCCAGCCTCTTTGGAACACCCCTTCAGGAAGTTGAAGGCTGCTCTCAAATCCCCCCTCACTCTTTGCTTCTGCAGACTAAATAAGCCCAAATCCCTCAGCCTCTCCTCGTAAGTCATGTGCTCCAGCCCCCTAATCATAGTAGCAAGGGAGATTTAGGGTAAGTATTCGGGGAAAAAACTTCTAACTCTTCAGGGGTATGTCTACACTACCCCGCTAGTTCGAATTAGCGGGGTAATGTAGGCATACCGCACTTGCAAATGAAGCCCGGGATTTGAATTTCCCGGGCTTCATTTGCATAAGCGGGGAGCCGCCATTTTTAAATCCCCGCTGGTTCAAACCCCGGGCAGGGGGTAGGTAGTTCGGACTAGGGTGCCTATTCCGAACTACCGGTACACCTCGTTTCACGAGGAGTAATGGTAGTTCGGAATAGGAACCTAGTCCGAACTACCTAGTTCGAGCCCCGTGTAGCCGCGCTGCACGGGGTTCGAACCAGCGGGGATTTAAAAATGGCGGCTCCCCGCTTATGCAAATGAAGCCCGGGAAATTCAAATCCCGGGCTTCATTTGCAAGTGCGGTATGCCTACATTACCCTCCTAGTTGGAACTAGGAGGGTAGTGTAGACATACCCCAGGAGAGTTAAGGTCTGTAAGAGGCTTCCAAGGGAGGTTGTTGAAACTCCATCATTGGACATTTCCAAGAGCAAACGCCTTTCAGGGACAGTCTAGGGTTATTTCAACCTGCCTCAGCCTAGGAGGATGGACAAAATTATCTCATAAGGTCTCTTCCTATCCTACACTTCTATGATTTGATGGTTATTTGGCATGATGTGAATAATGATGCATCTGTTTTGCTAATGAATCCCTCAGCACCTGTCTCAGGCACACGTGGCTTTTCCAGGATCCTGGCAGAGATCCAGCCCTTCCCAAGAAAGAGGGAGGCTCCCTCTCTTGCGTGGTCTGGGGGTGCCTCATCACTGGATTTCCTGAGTTCTTTTGCTGCTGACTGGCAGGCAGGGACCATCCAGCAGCAGCTGGCGTTGTGTTCCCAATGGCCCATCCCCTGTTCATGTGGCTCTGGATCCAGTCCTGCCTCAGCCCGGGGCTGCAGATGAGGGGCAGGTGGGGGATCTGCGCTGCAGAGCCAGGGTATGAGAAATCAGGGCGGGGGAAGTGTCAGCGTGAGTAAAAGAGCCAGCTGCCTCAACCTCTGACTCAAGGGCTGGAGCAGAGCCAGGCCGGGACTCCCCGGGCAGTTTGGAAAGTGTCAGTTTCAGGTGACGGGTTTCTCTCTGCCTTGGGAATGCCAGTCCGGGGTGGGATTTTGAAAGGCCGTCCGTGTGGCTGTCTGCTGTGATGCAAGGCACGTCCAGAGCCAGCTTAGCTGGGCAGTCTCCAACTGAACCAACCTTTCCCCGTCATCCCAGCTGCAAAGACTAACTCTAAATCCGCTGCAAAACCCCAGGAAAGGGCTGATGCGGGAGAAAGCGGCTGGCCCTGGCTGACGGAGACAGTCCGTAGAGTGCACTCAGTTACGGTGCTAGGGGCCCATGTGACATATTACCCTGCAGAGGGAGAGGGGCTGGATGAATGGGTGCAGGGGTCTTCCCAAGACAGACGGACACCTGTGAAACAGGCGGTAATAGACGAGGTGGGGGATTTTTCTGCTGATTCCCCAATGCAATGGTAAGCTACAGTGTTCCAGCACTAGAGACCGCAGCGACAGTGTGTGTCTGTTACAGGCTGAGCCACTTTTTCTTTTAATCAATTGTTTATTTACTGAAAAATGCTGTTTCGGTCTACCCGACTGACATGTGAATTTGATCCCCTGATTAGTTGTGCCTGGGGAAAAGGCTGTCGGGGTCATCTTCAGAAAACCACGTCATGTCCTTCATAACCCGGAGTCCAGTGCGCCGGGCCCTTGCTGCCTGGGGTGAGGGAGCCCCACATTCAAACCCTCCTCTGGAAAAGGGATTTGAACTCGGATCTCGCCCTCCAGGTCTGGGCTTGGGTGTGCTTGCATTCTGCTGAGGAAGCTATTCCAGTTTTTGCATATTTACTCTTCGCCGAAGCAGAGACTTGAAGTCAGGTCCCCTCCCACTGAATTCGACAGGGAGACGATGCAAATCCCCATCTCCAGCCACCTTCATCCTCAGGCAGCAAAGTCTTCCTCTCTCTCTTTGGCCCTCTGAATAGGCCTGCAGTGATACAAAGTGGAACAATTTGGGAGTGATGGAGAGCAGCTATCCACAGGCTGGGGATTGGAGGCACGCCGGGCAGGGGTACCTCAGTTTTCAGAACTCACTTGATTTTTTTTTCAGCCTGCTGGCCAGGCCAAAACCCCAATTATGTGCCAAGCAATGGATGGGTCAGACTTCCATAAGATCCTTTCCTTTAGCTTCCAGTTAGCCTGTGTCTGGAAGGCTGGATGCAGAGCACAGTGGGGGGCAAGCCTTTGAGGGCCCCGATGCTGCTACTGAAAGGTGACCCCAACCCGGTGTAAGATGTTGGTTGGTTTTGTCCCTCTGAGCCTCCTGTTCTGTCTTTCTCCTGCCTCCAACTTGGGGCACGCAGGTTCCCAGTTTCCAGCCTAGGAGACGGGGACTGGCATCGGGTTGCCCTCAGCATCTCCTCCGAGAGACTGGAGCTGCATGTGGACTGTCAGCTGGTGGAGAGCGTGGGCTGGTTCAATTACTTCGGGCTGGGAGTCAGCACCCAGGGGCTGGTCATCCTCGGAGGCCTGATTGAGTCCTTTGAGATTCCCTTTGAGGTGAGAGCTTGCTCCTGAGGCACACAGACTCCCCTCTTTGGGCCATCTGCAGGGGAGACGTGGGACGGGGCGGTTCTAATGAAAGGATGCTGGAAACCCATTTGTGATGGAACCCATCTCCTCCCTTCGTGGAACACTGTGGCTACGTCTACATTGGCATCATTTTCCGGAAATGCTTTTAATGGAAAAGTTTTCCGTTAAAAGCATTTTCGGAAAAGCGCGTCTAGATTGGCAGGACGCTTTTCTGGAAAAGCAGTTTTTGCGGAAAAGCGTCCGTGGCCAATCTAGGCGCGCTTTTCCGCAAAAAAGCCCCGATCGCCATTTTCGCGAGCGGGGCTTTTTTGCGGCAAACAGTACTATGCTATCTA